TAATTGGTTGGGACCTTTCCTAGCCAACATTGACAAACGGGTACCGTATGGTTTTTGTCTCTACTTACGGGAACGGGATTTTGACGGGTAAGTGTTTAGGTTTCAAGAAGGGTCCCATATGGTAATAAAATTAAGCATATTTGCTTAATTTTATAGTTTGAGTTTAATCAAATACTGGTTTAGTCATAAACATTTAAAAAGAGCAAACAGGCAAATGGAATGCGATGGATAGGTTACATTTAGGGAATTGAAAGTTTTTAAATCGTTTTTACAGATTCACTCCTTTCTATTGATTTTTCTATATTTTGTGCAAGCAAAATGACTATTGTTAACAAAGTTTACCCACCATCAGATATAAATAAAGAGATATTTACATGTTTAAATGAAAAAAATGGCTTTATTGTTATGCATCAACCTTTAATCATTGATATTTTTTGACTTGATTTAAAATTGTACACTTGTAATATTAACAATAATTTCATAATATACATATAATAACTTATACTTACAATACCTATACTTGTAAATACTTGCAGTTTAATACTTATGTTTCTAATACTGATAAAAACTTTTATTGATATAAACTTTTGCATTCAAACTTTAGTTATAAAACTTTAATTTAAATTGTTAACTTTAACATAAGTATCAATAACTAAAAAAAGATAATAGTTATTATATAGATTATAACAATATGCTTACTTATTATAATTGAGTTATAGTAAGTTAAACACTATAAAATGTTAAGTTCCTGGTAATAGGTCTTATATGATATGTATCTTTTGTATATCTTGTATTTTGCAGTATGTTCAAGAATATTTCTGCATGGTGCACTCTGTTCGTTGACAATATTTGCATACTGATATGAGTAAAAGTGACTTTAACAACCAGAATGTATTTATGATAAATATTAGTAATAACAGGTTAGTAAATAATTATAATAATTATGGTAATAACTTTTTATTATTAGAAATAGTGAGAGACTTATGTATAATAGAATTGTATGAACTTTGGGGGACTAATATAATGATTGGAGTAAATATTACTCTTGTTTATTACCTCGATAGAGTAATGTAAGAAAATATTATTTTTATCTATAGAAAGTTCGGCATAAGTCAATATTTTCTAAGTAATAAATAAATAAAAAAATACAAGTATTAAAAAAAATGTATTATAAAAGAATAAAATTATTATTTAAGTAAAAAAAAACACATGTATTATTATAATGTATATACATCACATTTCGTATGTTGTCTATAAAGTAAGGGTTGCAGCTGATATTTCAGCTTCAGCTTTAAACTCATTAGCTTCAGATTAAAGCTAAAGCTGATCAAGTCAGTTCAATCAGCTTGATAGCTGATAGTAAAAAAGAATAATACTACATAAAAATTTTATATAAAAACATATAGGAATTTATTCAATAAAAATTTAAAATAGTGATAAAATTTGCCAAAAGTTGTTGCTATTTATAAATGGCGACGTCAGAGCCTAGGCCTAGGACTCACAATTTTAGGGGACCCAAATTGTGTTTTTATAGATTTGTTTAAAAAGCGGAGCCCAAAAATTCCATTTTTAATTATCTTGGGACCTACCATTTTTCGTTCAAAATCTATGGGACCTACCATTTTTTGTTCAAAAAGACTACACTTTGCAAGTATTTCATAAGTTAAAAAAAAGAAGAAAAAATGATAAAAACTTTATTTTAAAAACATATTTTTCTTCAAAGTGGATTTTTTTTTCTAAACGAGGATGTTCGTCAAATAATGTAGCCACATCCAAACAACTTTCATTTTGCATAAAAAAATTTGACTGTTAAGACGGCAGATAATGTTTTTACAGAAAGTTGAATCTTCTTACTGCTTTAATAATCATTCCTTTGTGAAAATACCCTTTCAACAGCAGCATTAGTGCCTAGACAACATAAAGAAATTTCTATTAAAACTTTTAAATTTTCATGTGGGATATTTTCTACTCTAAAACGCCGAAAGATTTCTACCCATCTTTTGTCAAGTTCTATTTTCTCATTGCTCTATTTCTTCAATTTTTCTTTATATAAATATAAAGTTACTCTTCGTATTTTTTCAAAGAGAATATTGTCATCAATAACAATACCTGTTCTTCCTTCATTACAAATTCGACTGCTGAAGAAACTTCTTTCCATTCAATTTTACTATTTATAAAGGTCCATTTGAAACAATTCAATGCTCTAAAGTTCATTATCCATTCTTCGATATATTCAAAGCAAATTTTATAAAAAATTTGAACTTCTTTTAAAAAATCATTTGTTATTCCGGGATTGGAATCTTCCAAAACGATAAGTTTATAGGCTTTAATATAGACTTTAATATTGGATATAGTAGTGTATGTATATATTTTTTAATTTAAATTTGCCTTTGTTTTGCTTTTTTATATTTGACTAGTTTATAATATTAGTGACACCAAACCTAAATTTGTAAATTATAAATAAACTGGTAATTTTTTGATTTTTTGGTTAATTAACCATAAGAGCATGCGTAGTATGTACAGAAAAATTTTTTTATCCTTTTATTTAATTAAATAAATGGATAAAAAAAACTTTGCCGTACATACTACGCATGGGTCAAGACTGTCAAGCATGCCGTACATACTGCACATCAAAGTTTAGCCTAAGAATAACTTACACAAATATTACAGAGATATATATATCTATCACTTTTCACAAATGTAATTTTGACGTTGTTAGAAAAAGAGGTCTTTAGTATCTTATTATCTTTCCAGGTAAATAATGCGGCCTCTCAATTGTGCTGAAAAAGGCACAATTGAGAAATTTAAATCACTGTCAAAATAGTTTTAAATATTTAGTTAATATAATTAAAATGAAATAATCTAATAAAATAATAAAAAAATTTTTTAGAAATACAAATGAATTCAAAATTATACAAATGAGTACTTTAAGAGAACATGATTTGAAAAGATTACGGTTTGTGTAAAAAGAGTACTAAACTCAGTAAATGAGTATAGTTGGTCACCTTAATTATTTATATAATTTTTTGGTAGACTTCAAAGTTCTTGCATAAGATGGTTTTATTTATGAAAAAATTAAGTTTAAAATCAATCTTACTGTAATCATATGTGATGCACCAGCAAGAGCATGTGTTAAGTGTATTAAGGGACACAATGGTTACAACTGATGTGAGCGTTGTGTTTAGAAAGGAGAGCGGTGTGACATATGTTATACACCAGCTAGAGCATATGTTAAGTGTATTAAGGGACACAATGGTTATAACTGATGTGGCCATTGTGTTTAGAAAGGAGAGTGGTTTGGCAAGAAAGTTTTTCCATGTATTTCACTAATTTTAAGCGCTGATTCAGATTTTTTGTTATTAAAGCATTCTGAACATCTTAGTGGTGTGTTAAATTGAGTTAAACTTTGACATGGTGACAAAGTTTCCTTTAGACTTTGTGCATCTAGCATACTTAGGGGTATGCGAAGACTCATTAACTTATTGTTAAGTTGCTCAAATGTTGTAAATTGTCTAAGAATACAGTCAATACTTTATCTGATGGATTGTTCCAGATATGTCATTTCATTTCAAGAAATATTTGAAGAAAACCAAGGTTTTAATTAGATATTAAAAAATGGAAAGCATCTGAACTTAGACTTTTTCTAGTATACACTGGACTAGTTGTTTAAAGGGAATGGTTTAGCCAAAAATCAATTTAAATTTTATTAGATTTTTCATTTGCAGTTCTAGTTTTATGTTTTATTTTGTTGAAAAATGTGTTAATTTTGCTTTTCAGATACTTATTTTGTGCAGTTTTATTGGTGAACTTTATCGTAAGGATCAATCTGTGTGTGTGTAAGCACAGCTTTGTCTTGGGGCAAACGATGTTTATTGAAGGATTTCGTGTCGTTTTTTACATATAAATAAATAAAAATTTTTTACAATAAATAAAAAAAAATTTATATAAAGATACTAAATGAAAAAAATTAAATTTTTTTTTTAGTATTTAGTTTTTTTAATGATTCATTTTAATGATATTTTAAATGTTAATGTTCATCTACAGCTAATGTTCAGTAGGAGTGTTGGGAGGAATCGTAAATGTTTTATAACATATTAAAAATAACGAATGTGTTAGCTATAAAATTTAAAACTAACAGTTAAATTTAATTTTTTTACAGCTCACATTGAAACGAAATATTGTGTAAAGAGGTTTTCAAAAAGTATACCTAATTTCGACAGTGTAATTTTAATTACTATTTTTTTTGAAATAAACCAATCAAGTTATTTATAAATAAGTTATTTATAAATAAGTTCAATCATACGTTTGAAATATATCAAATACTTTCATACTTAAATCTATGGCCGGTGAGCTTGTAATTTTTTTTCGTGAAAAAAAAGTTTCATTTTATTCCGAATAATTTTTTTTCCTGAATTCAACTTATCTTTACAATAGTTTTAAATAAATTTATATAAGTATATAATGTATATATATATATATATATATATATATATATATATATATATATATATATATATATACAAAAATTGACATTAAAAACCACTCAGTGCTTAATTACAATTAAAATAGTAAAGTACTAATAAAAAAAGAAATCAAATAATTACCAAAAAATACACTTGAACTTTTTACAACCAAAATATATTTTATACATTCAATAAAAAGAAGTCCATTTATATTAAAATTAATACTGGGTTAAACATATTGGATCAAGGTTATGTTTATATTGTAAAAAAAATCAACTTTTGCAATAATTAATCTTACATTTCATTAATATTACAAATCAAGCTGCTTTTTTATTTGCGTCAGTAATTATAAAATCCATAGTTGATATGAGACCAACGTTGGGTTTACGTCGAATTAAAAATAATAGGCAGCATTCACATTAGTTTTTTATATTTTGGTCAAGTGTATGTATACTGGTTTGGAAATATGTAGTCTATTAAATGTATTTTCATATGCATGTCACATTATTTGCAATTTAACTCTAAAAAAGTAAATACCTTTTTCTCATTTCTTCTGCGCATGACAAGCAAAGTCGGTGACCACATTGTGTTTGAATTGGTTCACGAAGAGCCATTTGACACACAGGACATTCATGATCGTCTAAAAGTTCATTTATAAAATACGCATCATACCCACCGAAATTCTCCTCATCTAAGTTTTCCATTTTTTTTTTCTTTTGCTAAATATAAACATGTTTATATTAAACTTTTTTAACTTTTTTTAGTTAAAATAAAAAAACTTTTAAACTATTTTATAAATTGAAAAATTGAAACTATTTTATAAATTGAAAAATTGAAACTTCGGTTTTGTATCCTAATACTTTAATGAATGTTTGTTTTCAGTAAAGTGTCATTTTGTAAAAGGTATTTGCTAAACCTGTTATGGTGCGTTTAAATTTATTTATTCTTGTTGTGTTGTTTAACATAGCTACATCACTTTTTTGATTATCAATCAATCAATAAATCAATTCATATATTCTGAAATAGTTGTGACATTCAAGGAAGTTTACAAATAGTACATGTATTATTCTTAAGAAAAAACCTTGCAAATGAAAGCTAATAATTATAATGATTAATGCTAATAGTAATAATAATTATCTACAACAGTAACAAAACGAACATTAAAAATTGAGTAAGTAAAAATACTAATAATGGTGATAGTAAAAGTTGTAGTTCTAAAAATAATAACATTATAATGAAAAAAGTAAAATCATAATAATAAAAATTAAATGGCAGAAATGAAAATAATTACAATAATTATAAAAAAATAAAAATAATTTAGTATTAATCACACACATATACAGACACATACAAATACACACATACAAACACACATGCACATTTACGTTCACAAATATATATAAACACATATACTTAAATCTCCCAGTATTCAATACAAGTATGTATACATTAATTGTATACAAACATAATATACACCCATATATGTAGATTCATATATACTATACACAAATATACGTAAATACACACACGTAAAAATACATACACACATACATAACATACACATAACATTCACATACAGAAACATAAACACATATTTATGTATATATATATATATATATATATATATATATATATATATATATACATATATACATATATATATGTATATATATATATATATATATATATACATATATATATATATATATATATATATATATATATATATATATATATATATATATATATATATATATATATATATATATATATATATATATATATAAATACTTAAATACACATACACACATACATAAACATATAAATATATACAGACATACATATCCATGCATACATATACACTCATTACTTATTTAGATGCGCTTATCACAAACACTTAAACACAAATATATATCTTTGTATTTATTAACTGTATTTGATTAGGAAAGAATATAATAGGTTACTCTTAAAAACATAGATTGAATGTAGAGCTTTTAGGTTATAGGGAAGGTTATTCCAAGATTTTATGCTTTGGTTTTTTATGGATTTATATCCATAAGTAGTAGAGCGATGTTTTAAGACTGCAAAATTCAGATTACCAATTGATCGAAAATAGAAACGGTTATTTGTATTTTTTCGGAAGAAATTGTTGAAGGTAAAAGGTACGTTGTTGGTGATTCCAGACAAAATTGCAATTCAAGAATTGAACAAGGTTACATAGTTTAATGATCTTAGGAGTTAGATAAAGAACATTAGGATTGAATTTAATATTCTTAAAATGTGTTATTTTCAAAGCTTTGTTTTGAAGATGAGTTAATTTTAAAACTGTTTCCTGTTGAGATTGTCCCCATATTTGACAAGCATATTGCATATGTGAACCAAAAATGGCAAGGTATATATTTAATATTGTTTCCAGATTGACATAATGGCGAACTTTTGCCAGCGTTTCTGCTCAATTTAAAGTCTTTAAGAATGGACACATACGATAGGTTGGAATCAAATATAATTCCAAGATATTTGAAAGAGTTTACAGGAATGATTTTACGGCCACTTAATCTAAAGTTAGATTTTTATTGATTTTTGCTGTATTAGATTTGAATACGGCCAGTTCAGTTTTGCTACAGTTGAGAGAAAGCTTATTTGAGCAAAGCCACTGAACTAAACTGGCAAGATCATGATTAATGTATTTGTTAATTTTTTTAATGATTTGTTGAAAATGAGCAAGTTAGTATTATCAGCAAAGTGATAACGAGTTGCAAACTTAATTGAGTTTTTGAGGTCGTTAATATAAAGAAGAAAAAGTAGTGTTCCTAATACTGAGCCTTGAGGGACACCGTTGAAATATTTTATTTGAATAAATATTAAGTCATTGACTGAGACAAACTGAGATCTGTTGTGAAGATAGGAAGTAAACCATTGAAGAGATTTTCCTCTGATTCAATAATATTCTAATTTCTTGAGTAGGATAGAATGATCTACTGTATCGAAAAGTTTTTTTTATTGTAAAACTTTTTTGAAATATTGGAATGACTATAGCAGCTTTGAAAGCATCTGGGTACAAACCGTTTTGAAATAAGATATTTTTAATAATACTTAGAGGTTTAGACGTTATGTCTGGAAAAAGTTTAAGAAGGAATGTAGGAAGACTATAAGGACTTAAAGTTTTTCCAGTTCTATGGGTGGTTTTAATAAGATTGGAGATTTCATTCTCTTTGACAGGATCAATAAAGAACAACTTTGAATTTGGAGAGTTGATATAGTCAGTAAGTTGGGATGTTGAAAGTATGATTTTGTTTTAAAGTGTAAATGAAATAGTTACAAAAAAGATCAAATTAGTAGTTTGATCTGTGATAATATTTTCTTTCAATTTAAGTTTGAAAGTTGAATTATATGAGGAAGGTTTTATATTATTGATGTAATAGTTTCTTGACTAGGTAATAGAATTTTTTACTAATTTTTAGTAGACTGCTGATTCTGTTTCTATAAAATTTAAATTTAGAAAACATTTTTTTTTTAGTACTAATATCTTTACATTTTGTGCATTTTTTATATAGTCTGTTATTAATGTGTTATTAATGGGTTACATTAGCAACTATGTATATAACAAAAATTATAATAAAAAGTATCAAGTAGTATATAGCAAAAACTATGATAAAAAAAATTTAATAAACAGTATTTTAAAAAGAAAAATAAATAATTTGAGTACATAAACAACAATATCATGCCAAATTACATACCAAAATATCATGGAAGCAGTAATGATAAATTAATATAAAGGTACACTTAATAAAGTACACTTAATATAAATAAACAAGCAAACACTTCCAAAAAACAAGTCTTAAATAACAAACAAATACTCCGAGATAGCAAGATGTTTATCATTATTTGTTTGTTGCTATCATTAGTTGTTCTATTTACTCACTAATAGTTAAAAACAGGAAAAAATTATTTGTAAAGTTCAAAAATGTTCAAAGTATAAAGTTTAAAAAAGTTCATTAATACTTTTAGCTAACGTTCCTAACACTTTAAACTTAGTCTATTTTCTAACTAAAAAAATAGCACATTTATGTTAAAGTCTCGAAACACCTGACAAAAATTTAGAACCCCATAGGCATGGTAATGACTCCACCACCACCCCCACCCCGTACGCCAACATCTTTTTTGGTGTGTATTAGATAAAAAAAATTGTGTAAAATTTAAAAGAAATTTTATTGTATATAAAAGATTTATTGACGACATACTTATGAATTTTGATGGTACCACTAAAAATTTAAATGATCTCACAAAAACTATATCAATAAAGCTCACAAAAGCAAAAAATTCACATTTAACAACTCACCTATAACAATATACTTCATGAGTTTAATACTGGAGATCAGTATTGATAAAACCTTTTCCTCACAGCTTTATAAAAAACCCACCTATACCTTGGCCCTATTAAATTTCCATTCCAATCAACCAAAACACCAAAAGATAAATATCATTTATAGCCAAGCCCTTAGATACAATAGAATCTCCGGAGAAACCAATCTGGTGAGTGAATTGAAGTTACAAATACATTTGTAGTTAAGGATTATTCACTAAAAGTTATAAACTGCCAAATAAATAAAACCCTGCTGAAAACCTAGAACGAGATAATCCACAGAGGTATATTAGATCCAAGTGAAAACAAGTTAAACATTCACACCACAAATGATATACCAATAGTACTTTCATACGATGCAACTAGCAAATAAACTATGGGAAAGATCAGTAAACACTAAATTATTATAATGAACGAGCATTCTCTGTATAAAAGATTGAGTAATCAACTACTCAAAATCTTCTTAAACCAGAGATCGCTCGGTGGCCTATTAATTCATACAAAACATCATAAAAAATCTCGTTAAAAAAGTCCTTGGGTATAAATCACGATATTGAACAATCAGGCAACATTAAGTGATTTTAAGTCTAATGGCACTAGTAAAGACTAATTAAATTATTTCACATTAATGAAAGATAGGCAAAAAAATATGGATAGGTACATAGGTAAATATTGGTGCGTAGAACTTTAAGGAGCATACAATGTAATCCTAAAAAACAAGCCTTAATTCTGATTTTTTATCTATAATAAACCAACGAATGAAGGGAATTTAATAACGGGGAAAACGTCATCTTGGGCAAAGATATAGCTGAAATTAGAGAATATATAAAGGTCTTTATACACAATGAAGCAACTATGGAAAAAGAAAAAAAGAGATGAAAAAGATGCATGGAACGACGATTTAAAGAAAGAAGTTGAGGACATGGTAGTATTTCTATCTGAAATACAAAACAACGCGGAGATGTTTCAAAAGATTATTATTTTAAAGATATAATATAAGTGCTCTAAATAATTTATGCAATAAATTTTCAAATTCAAATATCAGTTCATTCACATAGCACTTTAAATATTTGTTCATTCAAATTGCACTTCACAAACACTCCAGACAGTTATGGTAAGTTAAATGTTCAACTTTTTAATATATTATTTATTTTCTTTACTTTATGGATAACAGTACAGTTGAATAATAGATGAATAATAAGTTAGGAATATGCTAAGCTCAACTATATATGTAATTTTTAACTTGTTGCTATTATGTTAGATAACATATTCGGTTTACTCTAAAAAGATCTGATGTACGTGGGAAGATTCAATACAGAATTACTAAATATATATCAGACCTATGGCACATAAATG